TATGTGTGTGTGTCATTAGCATTTGTTAGACATTAATAGACATTAGAAAAGACTAACAAGGTGAAAAATGATATTGAGAATAAAGGAAAAACCTATGAATTTATTACCAGGTAATGCATGTTTTGTTTGAAACATTTCGATTAAATAAAGAAAAAAAATGAAGCACCTGAAATATCAGTCTGTTTAAAATTCATCTCTGTTGTTAAAAAAAATAATACGGTTCACATCTTTAGTATTTTCTAATATAGTTTCCAATATGTTAAAGCATGATGAGGGCATGCAATTGTACAGCATAACATGAATGATTTCTTATTTAAATAGTTTTATTGTTAATATTGTCTAAATCTGATTGCATGAATAAAACTTTTTTGGGCTTTTATCACAGTGAAGCCAACTGAGAGTAGCCATGAAAGAAGTTTTTGTTACTTCAGTTTTAAATGCAAGTCTTAAGAAAAGGTACCCCTGAAGTGTTATTTATCTTTCAACTTGTTCTGTATGTTGTTCATTAGTGATTTGCTAAATGGGCTGGAATGGGAGCTGTTAAAGAACACCAGCATGGCATCTGTTGTAGCGTACCATAACTGTTCCCATGCCAGGATCTGATGCAGTATTGCATACAGACTCGTCTCCGTCTTGCCCTCAGGCCTCAGTGGGCATCCTGTCGCTACGTCTAAACTCACCTGGAAACTGCTGGCTTTATGCATTCCACCTACTTTATCATCACTAAAGGTGCCATAGGTTACACGCCAAATGGGGCATTGTATGGCGCTTTAGATCTTTGGTGACTGTGTTATAAATTTTTTTTTATATGTTGGAGCTATACGGTGTTCAGCGTAATGAGCTGTCTTTACCGTTACTCTGTTTACAGTGTTTTCTGAGGCATTATCATGTTTTATTTTTCCCCTCTGCTGAATTGGTTGATGAGATTTTCTCCCACATTTAGAAAAGTTAAGCCTTTCTCCAGCTGTGCTGCAAAAACATCTGTTCTCTTACATTTGTGTTGTGTGAAACCAGTGTATCAAATTCTCTCTTTTTCTGTCTGGTTGCAACAAGTGGTTTGCTTCCCATTTTCTCCATTAGATTTTCACAATCAGACAGATTTTAGTTTGTGATGTTGAAAAACACTGTTATGACATTGAATTGGCAGCAAGGCGTGTGCAGATTGAGCAGTCTGATGTGAGCAAAGAAGAGACAGCCCCTCACCTTTCGCATACCAATAGCTCATTTGGAATGCAGCGGTGGCCCTTTGCCCAGCCCTGTCTCACTGAGAGGCTTTTAATTTTTCCCCCTTGTTGAAGCGATTATTTAAATGGCTCTCCGTGAGATTAAGTTATCAGACTCCTGTTGGTAAATGGGGTCCAGGCAAGCTAAATGCATGGCTTCCCCAGCTCAGAAACTGCCCATCAGGTAACCACTTGTTGCATTGCTCCTCCGCTCCCCCTGGCGATGACATTAAATATCTGGACTAAAATGCTTTTTGTTACTTTTCTGTGCTATGTATTTTCTTGTTTACTTTCTGCAACCCTCAGTGGTTGTCAATATTGCATGTTGGTGCTTGTTAGGCATAGAAATTACTATGACTCAAAGAACATAGCACTCTTGCAATGCTAGTGTTAAATTAATTAGTGTTTTTTTTTAGTTAAATGCAGAATCATTTACATTCTGGTAAGCAGTGTTAATTCAGACAAGCTGCCACCATTAATATTACAGTCCTTTCACAGCATCTTCTCCTTTCCTTTTATATCGTGGATGTTATGGAACATTTTCATAATCAACTAGTTTTAGGTTGAAAGACTAGTTAACTTCTTGATTTCTCAATTTTAATCAATTTTCATGTTGATGAACATTGATTTGTAAATCCCAAGATTGATCTTTTAGTCTATCACTGTAAACGATGAATTAAGAGACCAAGATTCTGAAAGGGTTTTACCATGAGGCCTTTTAGCCTGCAAAAGCAAAACGCATGCTCAGGATGCTAAAATGCTCTTTAAAGGAACACTCCACTATTTTTGAAAATAGGCATATTTTCCAACTCCCCTAGAGTTAAACAGTTGAGTTTTACTGTTTTCTAATCCATTCAGCCAATCTCCGGGTCTGGCGGTAGCACTTTTAGCTGTAGCTTAGCATAGATCATTGAATCTGATTAGACCGTTAGCATCTCGCTCAAAAATGACCAAAGAGTTTCTATATTTTTCCTATTTAAAACTTGACCCTTATGTAGTTACATCGTGTACTAAGACCAACGGAAAATGAAAAGTCGCCTGCTGCACCCATGGTACGGCAGCAAAGTTCCTTGATATAGGAAAAAAATATAAACTCTTTGGTAATTTGAGCGAGATGCTAACGGTCTAATCAGATTCAATGATCTATGCTAAGCTACAGCTAAAAGTGCTACCGCCAGACCCGGAGATCGGCTGAATGGATTCGAAAACGGTAAAACTCAACTGTTTAACTCTAGGGGAGTTGGAAAATGAGCCTATTTTCAAAAATAGTGGAGTGTTCCTTTAAGAAGTTTTGTATCTTTTGTCACCTTTAAATGTACCAGCGATGTTTCACCTGTCAGTTGTACAAATTAATCTGTTCTTGGACAACTGGTCAACCATTTTGGTCTGTGTCTATTTTTTATTGTCCATTTCA